TAAGCTTCGTGCCCCCATCTTTTTCTTGCTTTGGAGATATTTATTTAATGAAATAAAATTTAGTATTAAAAAACGATAACAAATTATATTATCTGTGTGCATGGTAATATAACACTTTAGTCATGTGTCATTTCTATTTGTGTTTTATCTCTGATACTAGTGTGATAGAATTGTTCTCACAGCCTTCCTGACAGCTTGCTTTTTCCAAGGAAGTGCAATATTACTACTTTCTCTAGCACTAATGTGGGAAACAAAATTAGGTTAGGATTGTTCAGTATTTTATACAATTATAATAGCAATAACATTTCCTTGATAAATTAATTTTCTATCACATTCATTTAGATTTTGGTTGTATAATTATTAAAACAATATTCAGTTTACAAAATCAGAGATTAATCTGTGGTTGTAATAAATGCATATGCTGCATTGGTGAAAAACTAATTATCTCTAAATACTGTCAATAATCTTATGAAATAACAACGCACACAAATGGAACGACAGTCACCGTGAACAGAAGTCAGAGGAGCGCAGGGCCTGTGATGTGTCTGCCACCAGCTTTTCCACACCTGTTGACCAGTCAATCAGAGGGAACCTCGGGGCCTGAAGATAGGCCAGCTTGTGGAAATTCTTTCCCAAAATAGCAATAGCTGAGCAAATTGCTAGCTAACAGAAGTAGACCATAGCTAGACCTCAGGATTTTGTGTATTCCATGGTCTGCATTTTTTCACCCTTTAAATCCTTGCTCCAACAGCTGATTTCCTCCTTTATCACAATCCTCTTCCTTTCTGCTTTTTTTTTTTTTTTGCAGGAAGGAAAAGCCACGTCCTTCCACATTCGTTTTCTTTAGTAAGCAGTTTCTGAAATTATTACCCAGCTGTCGCCTGGCAGGGAGGGACTAGTCTACTTGCAAGTTGGGCATACTATCGTCACCAGTCCAGTAAAATGAAAACTTGAAGTGGAACAAAGGACTTTTAGTTCTGACTTAAGTCAAGTGCATCTCAAAGCCATTTTTGAAAATCCAATGGACGTGGTAGAATTTGCTCTTTCACTCTAAAGAAAAACACAACCAAAATGCCCTCAAAATTTTAGTGCAGTATTCATTTTTCTTTACAAATTAAACAGACACCATTTAAATTTTGAAAATTTCAGTCATGCAAAGAGTTTTCAAAGTTATATTCAAACTGTAAAGACAATTGGTTTCCTTCTTAATGATTTTGCTATATTTAATATTGTGTTCAGAGTAGAGTTACACTTTTTGATTGATTTGTTTGTTTTTTACCACTGATTATACAAAAATTAATCCTTTCTTTATAAGTATAGGATTTGGAATTTTACTTACTTCATTCCTAAGATTAAAATACTGATTTTTATAATTCTCTGGGTATTTTTAATACTAGATATTACAATACATACATGTACTTCTAAGGATAAAAAATTATTCCTTGAGTTTCAGTTCATGCATGCTCAGATATTCACTTAAACATATCTCTGACATTATTGTAAGCCTTCGGACAAGATGACTCTAAATTCCACTTCTCTTAGTCTTGTTACAGTAACTGCAATTAGAGATTCATCCAAAACAATGGATTCTGAGGGGCTTTGGAAGACCACGTAAATTCAAGGCAGAGAGGCCATCTCAGCAGGTTATAAAGACTGCTGGGGGGATTCCGAAGGACAAATCTTGATAGATTTCCTTGAAGGACAGGGGTTGTTTTTGTGAGGAATTTTTTAAAAAATATAAAACTACTTGTACGAAATTTTCAAAATATGACAAAACACTTATCAAGCCCGAAGAAAAGTGAAGTTCAATCAAATGAGCCCATTAAATACAATGAATTATTGCAGAAACATCTCAAAATGCACTTTCCGCGTGTTATTGTTTGTGTATAGACAGAGAAACAAGTTGTAGCACTGACTAGAAGCTATTATAAGGCTATCTCCATTTAGATTAGCAATGATTGAGAGCTGATGACCTCTCATACAGGCATTTCTTCTCATTTAAAGAATAAGCAACCTGTTGCAGTTAGGTGGATTGCAGCTCGTGGCTACTCTGTGCGTGTCAGAGCAGAGGTACACTAACTACACTGCGCGGGGTTCTTGGTGACTGACTTTAAATGGGAGATTGCCAGGTTTTTCTCCTTAGAGTATTTCTGACTAAGAAACTGTATCTACCTCTAATACTTCACTCTAAAAAGAACAGATTATGCACAGTGAGACCACCGCTTCCATTTCTGTTAGGATATGATTATTTTCCTCTGTCTTGGAATACAGCCAGATGCTCCTTGGACATCAGGACGGGAGGATGTCACCTTTCTCGCTGTGTCTGGACACACACTTGGGGAGAACAGTGGCTGGAAAAGAACACCGTGAGTGGCAGAGAGCGGCCGAAAACACGCCAACCCCGGGGAGATGAAACAAGATGGCGGCTGTCAACAATGGGCTCAGAAATGCCACGTATGATGAGAATGGTGCAGGACAGGGCAACGCTTGTTTGTTCTTTTCCGTTTTATATATAAAGTCTCTATGAGTCAGAGCTGACTTTATGGCAACTAACAATAACATCAACATATAATTATAATTCTGCTTAGAATAACTTAGTGACCATTTAACAACATAAGCATTGTAATTCTTAAAATGAATAGTGAATTCATTACACGCACTTTGCTGTTAAGTTAATGTCAATAGTTAAGGTAATATTAGGGAGAAGTTACAATACTATTATCGCTCTTACATTCAGTTCATCTTAAAACACAACAGAGGAGTTTTGTTTAATTTTTGATAATCACATTCTTCAGATGCAAAAGGTGTAACAAATACCCATAGCATTATCTAAATGTATCAAATGTTACCAATTTTCTGTATTCACATAATAATTTTTTTTAGAAATAAAACATTACAGTGACATTGAAGCCCCTGTGGCTCCTCCAATCCAACCCCCCCAATATCTTTCAGTACTTCACACACAGGTCCCACCCCACATTGTCTCCTGGGTTTGATGTTCCTGAGATTGGAAACTGGCTTAAAATTCCCAGAGACTCGACCTTGCATCTTTTCAGTCACTGGGAGAGAGAGTCTCACGGCTTCCTGAAGTAGAAATGGACCTAACTGGTCCCAAGGAATTCCTTGAATGAATTATTTTAACTAATTCCCTATTTTCAGCTCATGCTTCATCCCCAGTAATATCCAGATTTTCCAAATAAAATTATTTGTCAAGAAGGGGCCTGGTACCTCCCATACCTGAGCATTCCTGGGACTCTGAAGGATGAGTCACTTACTCCCCATCTCCGTTTCTTTCTACAGTCATTTACTGTGGATAATTTCATTAGATCGTGCCTTCGCATCTAGTTCCTATAAATTCACAATAGCTTATTTGTACTACAAGTGATGTCATTACTATTCACCACAGCCTTGTAATTCTTCAAGAATCTGTCGGTTTCTTGTCTCTTCTCTCTCTCTCTCTCTCTCTCTCTCTCTTCTTGGAGGAGTATTCTTATCTTGTAAGACTTGTAAGGAACATATAAACAAGTGGGCCAATGCCGAGGCCACGCTCATCAAAAGCAAGAATTTCAAAATATTGATTGTATGATTGAGTGAAAGGCTAGAATGGCCAAGCAAAAGTCTCCAAAAGTATACACTCTCATGAATTCTTAAAGGAGCCATCTTGTTCAGAAAATGGCGATCTCTATTTTACTACAAAGGTCAGACAGCCATAACGTTTCCACCCTCCGTTTCAAAAGAAAAAGCTTTTGAATGAAAACCACAGATCAAATGGGATGGCAAGTCATTATTCAGACAAGGGAAGATTCAGTAAGTCAACTTCAAGTTAACTTACCTGAGAGTTTGTGTGTGATTATATTTCCCCCTCACATTTGGCTCTATTAACTGACTTTGGAACAGAAACGCATTCTGTTCGTGTTATTCTTTGAAGGCTCAAAATATTAGACTAGGTTATAAAAAATGCTCCAGAGTACATAATAAAATGGTTGTTAACATATTTATAACTGTAGGAAGGTTCTTACGTGTCTAGAACAAGCATTTTGCTCTAAAGGATGTGTCTTTGTTATGGCAATCTTAGTTCATGGCCTCAGACCGATTACTAACCTAAAGAAATCTCTGGCCACATTAGACTTAATAATATATATAAATATTCAGAATCACATGAAATATTTACAGTGAATTTGAGATTAATTAGTATAAAAAGATGAAGTTAATTGACATGGAGAAACAGGCTATCCTAGGTAAAGGCAGATATTTACTCAGACTTCTAGTTTTCACTTGGTAAATTGAATATTTGCATGTCCCCAATTTAAAGTTTATATAGTTTCCTATAAAATATGCTAATTAGATTTATTCACTAAATATATATTTATTACTTCAACATTTATTGGACGTTTATGATATGCTGGGTTTTGAATTAAGAACTCAGTAAAGTAGCACATTTAAAAGCCACTTCCTTTATGTTCCTGACTGTTTAATTCTATGGATTGAGTCTTTAACACATGCCATAGTCATATAATAGTATATAAAAGTATGAGTGCGGTGGGACTCCCAACTCAATTTGACAAGTGGCTAAAGTTTTAAATAGTGGATTTACTATTTGAGGATAAACTTCCACATGACTAAAAGTTAAATAGAAAGGAAGATTACAGTGTGGAAATATTCCTTAGGAATATCACTGTTTCTATTTGGAAATCAAATTCTCTAGATTAATTGAGTAGAGACATGTTAAAGAGGCAGGTGGTGATTCTCAGCCATACAGTCTGAGTAGAAAGGAATGTGTGTAAATCCTATGTTTATTAGATCCATAAATAGAGTTCCATTCTATGCTAAGTGCCTTCAGTTTCTCCAGAGATCAGACATGGTTCTGCTTCCCAGTCTGCTGTTGGAATTCCTGATGGAGGCAGTCTGCTGGAACATGAGTTCAGTTACCAAATATAGTTGAGTGGAGTAAGAGGACAGATGGCAATCTGAGGCCACAGTCACCTCACAGTGACCACGGACCAAGGAGTCCGTCAGGAACAGGCGAGGCCAACTTCCCCTCTCCCAGCGAAGACATGCTCATCTGAAATTTCCCTGCTTTGGGGATCTTCAAACGGACCGAGACTTGCAAAGATCTGTAAGGTGTATCTTAAAATTCTAATTACTACTGCGACATTTAAAGATATTAAGCAAGCAGCTAAACTTTTCATAATAGTAGCTTTTGATTCTACTTGAAGATGCCTATGTTTGTCTTTCAATTTGAGAGGAATGGTAGTAGGCATGTCAGTCTTTCCAAAATACAGAATATAAAATGTATCCACAGGCTGGATGTAAAATGTACCTGTGCTGTCAGAGAATTGCATTTTATTATAATCTTAAACATGTGAACTGGGTGCTATCAGTCCCACAAAGATTAAATGAATTCATGGAGCCAGCTCTTTCAAGACTATGTGTGTGTTATAGCTCACAGAAAGTAGGAATGTAATTATCTGAAACTTCATCCACACTTGAAGCGAAATACTGAAAGCTCAAAATGATATTTCTTATGTTTCAGTTAGCGTGTCTAAGTTATTGGTTATTTTCCCAAAGGACTTTTTAAATAATTGGGCATAATTTAATCAGCTGAGCTAGAAATGCCAGGTATTCTAAATTCATTCTATGAATGAAGTTTAGATGTGTGCTTTTTAAAAAGAGATGAAGGTTACTAAGAGAAACTATAGTGTAAGACTCTGGAGTCTGGTCAAAGTTAAACACTACAGCATATTTTATATCACCTTGTTTTAAGTTACATGTCCTAAATCCAGCATATGTGATTGATCCAGAATGATTCGGGTCTCATATTACTTTCTAATATTGTTAAAAATATTAACTGCCTTCCAGAATGAATAATGTTGCTACATATAAAGTCCATTTTAGTAATATATTCTATCTATTAGATCCCTTTACAATCTGTGCAATTGTATGTGTAGAGAAATCAAATCCTTATTATATGATAAGCTATATTACAGTATTTTTTGTTCAAAGAGAGACCTTGAAAGTTCATCTCAATTACTCAGATTCTTTACATTGGAATCTATTTGACAAATTGTTGCTTACAGTAGGTATGTCCTGAGAGAGCTAAGTAGTCAATAGCACCTTTGTAAAGACATTATTTTACACTCCTTGAATGAAAATCCATTCTCTGGAATATTCTAGAACTAGGATGGACTAGGGCATCCATCCCAGGGGTTCCAGGTCGGTTCTGTCTCGGGGTTTCTCTGTTTTATTGCAAAAACGGAAATGTTGAGACCAGCCTTATTGCATCCTTCACAGCAGAGTGAAGCTCTGGAGTACAATAACCAATCAAAATACTTTCATTTCTTTACCTCATAAAAAGTATATTGGAGGGGGAATTAGTTAGGTTTCAAAATAAATCTGACAAGTTCTTTAAGAGATAGCAGCTGGAATCTGCAAGGCCAAGACAAGAGCCTCCACTTCTTTAATGTGTGTGGGAAGTCTATTAAAGGGTGCTATGATAAGTGAGTTCCAAATAGAAATTCACACGATCTAGAGTCAATGACTGTGTCCTGGTTGAATTTCAAAAAGACAGTAATAAAGGTTGAGTGAAGTTGCTTCACTTTTAATTTGTGACTGTTCTGTCATCAGATTATAAAATACAGAAATATATTTGGACACTTGGTTTTGTGAATAGATGAGAGGAATGAAGTCCTGAATTAGGATAATGTTAATGGAATGGATGATTTAGATATAAATTTTACATATCTTTAGATATAAAGTTTACATATCTTTACAACTGGTTCAATATGATGAATAAAGATGATCATTAGAGAACACTAAGGATAATTTTCTTTATTAAACACTTCATATGGCTCATGAAGATATTACACAAAATATTATGCTCCTTTAAATAGTGTTACTATTCTGTCATATCAAGTTCTTGAAATGTATATTTAAAAGAGCAATACAATACAACCTTCCTGCAATAAACAATTTTTTAGGATTAAGAAGCAAAAGAATCCGCATTTATATATTAAAAAATAAATTACAAATTTGTTCTCTTTTGCATTTAAACTAAACATTTTTTTCATCTTGACTTTTATGCTACAAGGCCCTTGGTGGTGAAAAGAACATTACAGTGGGAAGGAAGGGAGAGGGAGGGAAATGGGAGTGAGAGGGGGACAGGAAGACAGAGGTAGAGAAGCGGGAAGTCAGCAGACTGCCTATGAGCACTAGGACAAGTCAAAGGTTTTGAGGCTTCTTTTGTTTCTATAGTTTCCGTTTCATTAAAAAGATTCTAGTACTTTAGGACCTTTGTAACAATGTTTTTTTAATATACAAATAGTTTTATTGGGGATCTTACAGCTCTTAAAACAATCCACACAAATACAGGGAATCCAGGGCGGATGATCCCTACAGGACCAGTGGTGTGAGTGGCGAAACAGGGAGGGTA